ACAAAATTACAAAACTATAAAAATAAGTGTTCCTAAAACGCAACAGGTTTAAGAGGGATCGTTTATTCTATAATGTATTTTAGCGCGCAGTCATAGTTAAAACGCGCAATCGTATACTTATTAGCCGCACTAAAATCATGGCTAGCGCGCCTGGGAGCGGTTGTACAAAACGTTTAACTACTTTTTGGCCACTATTTCCTGATAAAATAATAGCTAACTCTAAATTACACGATTTTGATGGATTCTCTTTCGCACTAACTAGAATGAACTATAACTATCCTTTTATACAACAGGAGCCGCTTGTATAAAAATGTAGTTAAAGCTAACTACAGTTAGTGCGAAAGATAACCAATCAGAATCGCGTATCTAACAGTTAACTACCATTTAATTAACAACAAAACGGGTAGGTAAATAGTTAAGCCTTTTATACAACCGGCTCCAGGTCCCAGTTTGTTAGCGGTTGCGTAGTTAGCGCGCGCAGTCATAATTAGCGGGTACATATTTGGTATGTCGGCGGCGAATTGCGCCGTGCTAAATGAAATAATACACTTACAGCATCTGTAAAATATGCTTTCTCGTGATTGCAAACTATGCAAACTGGTGGTAAAATAGCCTGACTTCTAGAATTCACTGTGCTTGACGTTGAAGATCTCAGCAGTTTTCTTGCAGGACCGGTCTCATCTTCGCCCGTCATCTCCTGATCATTCCTAGTCGCCGTTTCAGGCGTATCTTGTTCTCTCGCACACCTTGCTTGAGCGCGTTTTATCAAAGTAACATTGGTGAATTTTGAGTAACACGTTCGGTGGTAATGTATATCTTTAAGCATATCTGACGGGTAGTTGAAACTCTCGAGATTTTTCAGTACGTGCGCTGTTTTATCGGCAATTTCTCTTTGTTCGCCATCTAGCGTTAGCCACAGTTCATGACTTGTCAAAACCTTTTTAAAAGTGAATTAAACAACTCGAGGTGGATGCCACGCCTGACATGATAAAACAACACTACAGACAGCCCTCTTAAAATACTTCTGGCCGTAACTCTACTACATTTTATAATAAAACAAATTAACAAAGCAAAAGGAGTTTCTTTTTGTTATTATCTTTTTGTTATTCACCTGTATTCATGCTCGAAAAGCGCGCGAAAAAAACCCGCGCATTAAAATACCCAGCTAAGAGACTGGAACTAGTACATTAAACATGTACTACATGAAGTACCCTGAAACAAAATGGCGGAAATTGACTTTCGAAGCAGTGGAATTTTTTGATGTTTGATCGTGAAATACAAGAAAACTGCAGGTTTGTGCGAGTGACAACAAGTAAATTCGAACTCAGCATATAAAAATCTATAGATTTATGCGAATTAAAAGTAGTGCCCAAGGGGGGGCAACAAAACTGAACGAAAATCGGCCAGGGAATACGGCCTACTGTGTTTGATAACATATGCAAGGTCATTCATAAAAATGTTGAAAAGCAGTGGGCCAAGGATGGAGCCTTGAGGTATTCCTGCAGAAATGTTCTCCCATGAAGAGTAGTTACTTCCGAGCTTGACCCTTTGACGTCGGTTAGAGAGATAGTCCGTGATTAACGTCGTTGTTTTTTTGGTCAGCGCCGTATTGTTTCAACTTCTGGACAGTTAAGTCGTGTGGCAGTGTGTCAAAAGCTTTTGAAAGATCCATCGCCACAAGACCGATCACCTTGTGATTGTCGAGTTCCTTCTTCCATTCTTCTGTCAAGGATAGTATAGCTGTATCACATCCGTGATGTTTTCTATACGCAAAAACGTATTTGTGGTATATTTTCTTAAAATGAGGGCTCATTCACAGCTCTACTATCTTCTCAAATACCTTAGAGAGGGAGGGCAAAATCGTTAAAGGTCTATAGTTAATTTTGCTCAGTTCACATTCTTTCTTATATACAGGTGTTATTTCGCCGGATTTCCATTGCTGAGGGATTTTTCCATTGCCCAGAATATAGTTAATTAATGTGCTCAGGCGATAGCAAAGCACTTCAGCTGACTCTTTCACCAGTCGAGGCGAGATAAGGTCGTATCCTGTAGCTTTATTTATTTTAACATATTCTAGTATCTCTCTAACTTCTACATAATTAGTTTCCTTCAGTGATAATGTTGGCACATTTACAACGTTTTCAGCTATGTGATTTAAGTCTGGCATAGGTTATTTGCATGATCGGAGTCTGGAACATAAGCATCGATCGCTCGAAAAATATTTATGTCTCCACCACTTCTTTCGTGTCAGTAATAATCTTTTCATTGTCTTTAATAACAGTACGACTATTGCTTTTAATTTTCCTTGAATTAATGTACGGTTTTATAGTGCTCCAGAACTTTTTCTGATTTCCGTGTTTGTCTACGCAGAGTTTCCTGAAATGCTCTTGGACCGATTTCCTTCGCATGCTGACTACCTTATTTCTGATCTGGCGGTATTGCTCCCAATCTGTAGGGTTTCTAGATTTATAACACTTTTTCTTTAAACGGTCCCTTTCTTTCATGGCATTTCGGGTTTCTGCAGTGATAAACTTTGATGCTATTCGTGGCCGGCGATAAAACTTTCTTATTGGAGCATGATCATCAATCACCTGGTTATAGAGTGTTTCCCAGCACCAATAAACGTCGTCTGAGTCGTCGAATATGTAAGCAGTAGAGAATGGTACTTTACTGAGATCCTCAAGGAACGCCTTCTGATTGAAATTTTTAAGCGAGCGTTTAATGAGGGGCTCTGATTTAGGTCGCATAGGCTTTATGTTTAGAACTGTATATATCAAGTAATGATCGCTGAGTCCTGTTTCTACAACATCAGAGTCTCCCATAAATGCTGGCACGTTTGTTAAAATAATAGGTCGTTTGCTGCGTCCCGATATCGTTCACTTTCGTAGTGCATGTGGTGGAACTGAAATATTTTTACGGGAACTAGCACTTTCAAACACGCTGAGTTCAAATCCGAAAAGTTCCCGCTCCATAGGTCTTGCGTTTTCTCACAAACTAGTATTTTATTTTCTCTAATTTCACGACTAACTTTTTCTTTGTTCAATGACACGGATGGACGATGACACACTCTTATGTCACTCAAAAGGACTAATTTCTATTAACTAGTCTTCCTTTTAACAAAAGACCGTTTCGCTCGAATCATTTTGAGTTATGTAATCTTATGCGTGTTGAACGTAAATAACATATATCATTTACAACTTTGGGAAGGTACAGATAACGCTATCTAACATACACAGTTCTAGCGATATCTCTATAAAATCACAAGGACGTTAATGCTAAGTCGTTTGGCTATGTCACTGGCCTGATAAATAGCTCGTTTAGCGCAATCATGGTATTTAAAACAACAGTAACGCAAAGCCAACGTAACGGCAAAGACAACGCTGATGTAACATATGCTAGTGATTATATGGTTTAATAGGGATTAAGTAATAAGAGACGTTTTATATAGATATCTGATGACAGGTAGAGACTGAGGGAAATGTGATTATATACAAGACGAATATAACAACAAGAGCTTTTTTGAAATAGTATTGTTTCCTTGTTTGTGTATATTACATTTGGTGCCGTGACCAGGATGGCAACTTCGAGTCGTACGAGCGTAGCGCTTCCCGAGACATTTTCAGATGGGGATATTGTTTTATGGCTGCGAAAATTCGAGCTTTGTTCGACCGCAAACGACTGGAAAGATACCGACATGTTAAAAAGGTTACCGACACTTTTGTCTGGTAAGGCCTTCGCAGTTTTTGAGCGTCTCGCAGCAGAGGCCAAAGAAGATTATAAAACTCTTACGAAAGCTTTGACGGCGGCGTTTGGCGGAGATACAACGGGCAAACATCTTGCAATGATGGCGTTTCGCAGTCGAACGAGAAAGCCAGACGAAGACATACAAGTGTTCGCCTACAATTTAGAGGCACTATTAAGGCGCGCAATGCCAAAAATCGAAAACGGAGACAGAGATGTCCTACTCCAGCAACAATTTATCGAAGGAGTACCCACAGAACTAAAAAGGGAACTATTACAACGACCAAGCATGTCCTATGAAGAAATGGTTGCGGTTGCCCAGCAACTAGATTTAGTGAGTCAAATTTCATCGCACCAAACCGGGAGTCAAGTCAACCTGGCAAGTGCGAGCGACAATTTGCAGACAACAACGAGGGATCAGCCCTTGGTTGCGCAGTTGATGGAAAATGTAGAAACACTTACCAGGAAGGTTAGTGAATTATCTGTATCTGTCGCCAATGTCAACGCCGTCAGCGCGAAATTCTACTCGGGGAAGACGCGGGCCTTGCTATCAATGTGGCAAGATGGGCCACATCGCCAACGAGTGTAGAAGCACCGGTAACGGAAGTCGACAACCAAATTACCGACAACGCAGCGCCGAAAATTACTGCTTCGTGTGCGGGCAAATCGGACATTTTGCGCGAGAATGCCGATTTAGATACCAGTCCCCTGTCGCTGGTCAACCGCGTCAGGGAAACGACCAAGGACCGACCCATTACTAGGCCGGGGGTCCGTCCAAGAAAATACGGCCTTGCCCATAAACTGTATCCAGCCTACTGCGGTTTTCAAGACACGAGTGGGTGCCCATGAGCAAAAATGTTTGGTGGATACAGGTGCAACGGTATCGTTAATAAGTCGAGAACTTATAAGTGGGCCTTTAAAGCCATGTTCGTTGAAGGCAAGAGGGATCGGTGGAGAGGAACTACAAGTCCTAGGAATGAAAGAATTGGAAGTCAGTATCGGCACATTGACTATATCCCACCAGTTTATGGTCGTAGGAATGAGAAACACCTGTATTTTAGGTGCTGACTTTTTGAAGTCAGGGCGAATGGTCGTGGATATAGCAAATTCGAAATTAACTTGGCCATCGGGAGAAGTGGCGTTGGTAATCGAGACAACTGCACCAACTGTCAATAAATTAAGCATACTGTTAGATAATTATTCAGATATTTTTGTAAGCGGACCAAATCACCCCTTAGGCCGAACCACTTTAGCAGAACACTCGATTGACACGGGAGACAGCCGTCCTGTGAATTATAATTAATTATTATTATTATTATTATTATTATTATTAATTATTATTATTATTTTAATTCCTGTTCATCTCAACACTGTAGTGAACAAGCAAGTGAACGACATGATCGAAAGAGGTGTAATCCGATCTAGTAACAGTCCCTGGTCCTCACCAATCGTATTAGCTCCGAAGAAAGACCGCGATTACAGATTTTGCGTGATCTTTAGGCGAGTGAACTCGGTGACCAAGAAGGACGCTCACCCCATGCCTCGTATAGACGAAATTCTTGACCAGTTAGGCGGTGCGCGTAACTTTAGTACCTTGGACCATGCTTCCGGATACTGGTAAGTACCTTTAATCTAAGGGAAGAGGATATGGAGAAAACGGCTTTCTCCGTTCAATCGGGTGCGAACCACTATAAATTTACAGTTATGCCCTTTGGTTTAACTAACGCTCCCGCCACATTTCAGCGCATGATGGGGAATATATTGAAGGGTATTAAAGGCTGTCCAGGGCCGTAGCGAGGGGGGGTATTGGGGGGGGGAGGGGTTAACCCCCCCCCCCCAACTTTTGTAAAATTAACATATTCGGAAAATCGTGTTGGCCATTCGGAAAATTACGGCAATAATAGTATAACAAAATTTCAGTTGTTTAAACAGAGAAAATATTATAAAATGGTATTGTCAGTATAAACTGATTTACGAAATCACAGCATTTACATGGATAACATTTAACAAATCGTAAATCGGTAAATGTTTTTTCGGTTTATTACTTCTCAGAGCCGCAGCAATTCGGTTTATTACTTCTCAGCAGCCCTTACAATAATTTGCTGATAATCATTCTTTTTTCAAAATCATGCACACCTTTATCATTTAAATAATATACTTTTAAAATACTGACAATTGATTAATTTTAAGCGGCTACATTATCCATGACAACCCGCAAAGAATCATATTACCCATACTCTTTCCTGCAACTTCTCCAATGTAAAGTTAATTAAATACGCCTTCGCCCATTTAGTACTACTAAATTGTAACAGATTTCGACATACTAAAAGTAAAAACTCTATCAACAACTCGAACCGACTTGACCACGTAGCTCAGTTGCATATGGCAGAGCATTGGACTAGTATCGCAAAGGTCGCGGGTTCGATTCCCTCATTTCCGCCGTGGCCAAGCAAATTTTCAGCTTGCCCGGTGTGGATGCACACTCAGAGTAACATCACAAACATCATATTCACCTGAGTATATAACACCGACACACACACAAAAATCATTTCATAGATTACACTGATATCGAAGGAACTAGATTCAGTTCCGAAATATCAAGAAGTCGAACCGACATGACAGCGTAGCTCAGTTGGCAGAGCATTGGATTAGTATCCCAAAGGTCGCGGGTTGACTCCCACCGTGACCAAGCAAACTTTTCACCCAGTGTGAATGCATACTCAGA